AACATGAACATGACCGAGGAAACTCTGTGCAGATTCTGCCATACAGAAGAAGAAACGGCCATGCATGTTCTTTGCTCATGCTTCCCGCTTATGAGCAAAAGAAGTATCCATCTCGGGCGACACATCATGCACCCGGATGAGATAGCAGATATCACGCTCCAAAGAATCTGGAAATTTATAGACTCAACGGGACTAAGCAGTGAACTTTAAAGACAAGGGCTGCCACAATAGATCAAACCTGGTCGAGTTGGCGCAAATAAAGGCCCAAAAACCAATAATAATAATAATAAAGTGTTTAAATTAGGTTCCGACGACAGCTTCTGATTGATGACCTTCACATTTTTGTTGCAATATCGCCTCTATTACAACTGCATAAGATACCAAAGTGTAACTGTTGATGTGCTGTCGTCAGTAATAAAACACAGTTAACAGCAAAACGCTCTCAGCTCCACCCTTGACTCTCGTGAACATCAAACCATTATTATGGTTACGAATTAATGTAAGCCTTCAAGTATGTGGCGTGTAGTCCGCGCCTGGAGAGACTGGAAATTTGGCCAACAAATAAAGTTGAATAAGTTTGAGACAAATAAATACTTTCTATCTAAATAACATTGACACCGAGCTGTGTATGCGTCTTGTGATTTGAGTAAATTTTTCTTTACTGGCGTGCAACATACGGCTAAACTAGAAAGAAAGTAAGAAAGAAAGATACATTTAATATTTAAACTAGTTTTATATTAAAACTAGTACTAGTTATTAATATTTAAACTAGTATAACACTTTTTCTGTATTTTGTTACTCTACGTATTTGGATGATTCCTATCATCAGGCCATTATTTTACTACACTAGTACTACATTCTTCTTTAACTTCCCAGAGGCAAATGGACGATTTGGCCTGCTAAAGCACACGGCTATTGAAAGTTGAATTTTATTAAAATACTAGCTTTTTCTTGCAGCTTCACCCGCGTGATTTCCGATCAGTCACAGATCGCAGTAAGGTGTGTTCATCAGAAGTTTTACTCCTTGACAAATCAGACACCTTTCTCATGAAAATCCGTTACATAATTTTTGAGTCAATCGCGAACAAACAGCTGCAAGGGAATGTATGTTCATAAAATTTCCAGTCTCTCTTGGTATGGAGTATAGACGTCTATCTCCAGTTGCTATGCTCCAATGGCCATAATGGAGTTTGATGACACATGGTAATGTTTAACGAAATGATTTACGACTAGCAGGTATTCCGCGAGATTACTTGTGTAAGTACTTATTGGTAGGTTTGTAAAGCTAATGGGCTGTAATCTGTAATCTCCTTTATTTTACAAAAAATTAGCATGTCTGAATTTGGCGAAAATAACGGTTTTTAGTAAATGCCTGAAATAGCATCCTAAATATTTAAGCTATAAAATTGAGGGATAATACAATTAAGTATTAAATAGCTACTAGTAAATAGGTACAGTCGAGTTCATAAAAATATTGACAGTGCAAATAAGTATTTCAAAATATTGTAGCGCAAAACATTTATGTACCGTTTATATTATGATTACATTTCATTGATGTTTGAGTTAATATTGAAATAAAATATTATAATCGTTAAAACATCACAATATTTTAAAACATTGGCACAGCTAATATATTTATGAACTCGACTGTACATACGTAAAGTATACTGGAAACTTGACTGCTGCGTAGATATTTTTAAACATTCACCTTAAAAATATATTATTTGGTTCTGAATATAGGTACTTTTATTTTAATAAAAAAAGATAAAAGAGGGAGAAATTATGTAAATGGGTCATTCCATAAAAATCTGTATATTTTCGACGTCATTTTGTCCTAAACTTTTTAAGATGCTTTTGAATACTTTATTAGTGTAAATTATAGTTTATGTATTAATTATGTTATGTCTAAAAGGGCCAGTCATTTTATGCTTTATTTTAGGAGAAATTATAATTTTAAGTTTTTTCATACTACATTACTCCTATGTGACTTTTAATAAAGTATAAAACTTACAACCTTAACACTTATAGATAAGTTAATATACTTAATGTAGTTGTTGTGTTAATAATACTATATAAAAAACGTTATTCCCTAACTAGTAACTTAGTCCCTAGCGCCGTTTAAAGCTAGGGCCTGACGTTTTGAAGTAAAATTTAACAAAAATGCAGATTAACTTTATATTATAAGATGCTTGATACGATGTGCCGAAAATAGCCGATAAACCACACTTAAATACTATTAAATTATATACAATTTCCTATTGTAATCAATAAAGCTACTCAACTAGGGACTGACGAAGTGACTGTATCAACACATGTTTTCGCAACATCTGGCACGTTTTCACTAATTCAAAAAACGGCTGCCGCAAAGCCAGTATGTTTTGAGAATAACTTCGTATCGTATTTTAAACTCAACTAAATGTCATTCACTCTAAATACACATTAAAGCGCAAAATTATAAAATCAGTGCGTGGCGAGGGAATGACGCTAAAAGCTGTGGACTCTTTTTCAACTAAAGAAAATCAAATTATTGTTTATTGAAATCGCAAAATATTAATAGAATTTGGTGTAATATAGGTTTGAATAGAATATTCGTTAATTATAATAAAGGATCAAGTTGATGTTTTTATAAATATGGGTTCCAAAACACAAACTTTTGGAGTACGGACATGCCTAGGGAATGACGTTTTGGGTCATTTAAAAGGAATTTAAGATGTTTGAAAAATAGTTTAAAAAATATAAATGGGTGATGAATAAAACACCATTGCGGGCTGTTATTTAACAATTTTGGAATAAAATATTAACAAACATTTCTTGTGAAATGTGGCGCGGACTAAGAGTTGACATATTTTTGTGGAATGACCCAAATAGGATTGCTACGCAAAGTTTGATATTTCTTCGTTAACATTAAGAACCTGGTGAAAGGGGTTTGCGTGTTTTTACAATAACAACTCACACACAAAATACTACACTTGGGCTGGGTTTTACCATCTTACTTTAACTTTGACAAACGTCAAAAATCTGTCAATCTTCATACAAAAAACACCGGTTATCGTCAAAGTTAGGGTCAAAGGCAAAACCTGGTGCCACTCAGCCTTAACCCATTAACAGCGATTAAGAATGTCACAGACTAAAAACGTAAACCATGAACATTTCCTCTTTTGTCAACGTTTACAAAACTTGTTTACAAGCGACACCTTCATCCAATCACGAAAAAGGATAGAAACTTAACCGAACTAATCAGTAAAACAATAAAACTCCTAAACATTCGCAGTTTACTTGCGAAACTTTAGTTGCTCTGCTAATCGTCGGGAAAGTAACGAAAATAGAACAGACATCACACTTTTTAATTAAAATCTTGACTAGTAAATAATAATAGATACATTCCAGTATAATGTAATAGAATGACACCGGTCTTAACGTGACAATGAATGAGTTACATTATGTATTTACTCACGGCTTGACGTTTCGACTGCTATGCTGTAGCCGTGATCACAAACGAAATGTCGCGTTAAGACCCGTGTCTTTCTATTTTAGCTGAAATGGAACTTGAAAGTTTAAAATCTTACATTTGAGTATGACTCTTTCATGTTTTGATTTTGTCAATCTGGGGGCACGGCAGTGCCCNGATTTTTTCATTCAAAATTAGAAAATAGAAAATAATAATTTACTTCTATTTGGGTCATTCCATAAAAATCTGTATATTTTCGACGTCATTTTGTCCGTAACTTTTTTAAGATGCTTTTGAATACTTTATTAGTGTAAATTATTGTTTACTAATTAATTATGTTATGTCTAAAAGGGCCAGTCATTTTATGCTTTATTTTAGGAGAAATTATAATTTTCAATTTTTTCATACTACATTACTCCTATATGACTTCTAATAAAGTATAAAATTTTTAACCTTAACATTTATAGATAAGTTAATACACATAATGTAGTTGTTTTGTTATTATCACTATATAAAAAACATCATTCCCTAACTAGTAATTTAGTCCCAAGTGCCATTTAAAGTTAGGGCCTGACGCTCTAGGTACTGAAGATTTGGAGTAAAACTTAACACAAATGCAGATTAACTTTATATTATAAGATGCTTAATACCATGTGCCGAAAATAGCCAAAAAACTACACGTAAATACTATTAAANCGTTTTACATAAATATATTGAGTTAATATTGGTCTCAGAGTGCAATTTTGGGCCAAAAAATTTACAACTTTTAAATCTGTTTATAATGTTTGATGCCAAATAGTTACATAAAGAAACTTTGATTATAAAATAACTATAATAAACACTTTTATCATTTACATAGTAATTCTATTCATAAATTGCTTATAAACTGATTTACAGTGATTTTAAATTGGCTTACCAGAGTAGGCCACGCGTGTATTCGTGTAAAAAAAGGGGCGCGTGTACTGCAGTGTTAACTAAGTAGTTTTTCTATTTATTTGAGTGTAACTCGGCAAATACTAAAACACTGAGTTCAGTTCCATGTTTTTATGAAAGTTTTTTTTATATTTTGGGAAATTTTCCTAGTATCTACTTGTAATAAAAGTTGTATTATCTTTTTAGTTTTAATTTTTATTTAAATTGTTTGTTTAAATTCGTATTCTGTTTATCTTCATACATCGTGAACACAGTTAAACCGATTTAAATTTACTTTTTTTTAGTCAAAATCTTTATCAATAATTGTTTGTTCTTTCTTCCCTACAAAGGGTTAACTCCAAGTTTCCACATTTATAGAAATAATTACTTGCTTCCATCGACCCCTGGTTGCCCCTGGTTTGAATGCCGACCTCCTATTTACCTTTTGCCAGGCTTTTATTGAAAAACTTTTTAGACACATTGCTTTTGCGTCTCTAAGGAGGTGTATTCACTTGGCCGTGTAATTAAAGATTTAAATTTCAGCGACTAAATGGATGGAGCGGAGTTAAGCTGTATTATTATGATGCAGTAAGAGAGTTTGCTGCAAGAGATAATAAGTTTAAAATCGTTTGGGTGACTTTCAATGCGACGAAACCAAGCTCAAAGCTTGATTGCATCTCAAGCACGCTAGAGATTCTGTCCTATCGTCGNTTTCGATTAGAGTTAATACTGGTCCACTGCTGAGGAAATGAGATGGTGTCAAGAAGTCCAGATCATCTGGATCTTCTGAAATTGCACATAATGGTCGTGTGTTTAAACAGCCTTCTAACTGTGTTAATAGAGTAGAAAATTCTTCGTAGGTAAGTTTTTGGTCTCCAAGTACTCTACGTAGATGGTATTTGAGGCTCTTGACGGCAGCCTCCCAGATACCTCCTGCACTTGGCCAGGATGGTGCATTAAAATGCCATTCTATTTGCATTTCTGCTAGACTTTGGTAAATGTTATCATCCATGGTTTGTTTTAAGTTGAAATATTCTTGTTGTATGGTATTGTTAGCTCCCACAAAATTCGTTCCATTATCACTATACATGTGTCTTGGGGCGCCTCGTCGTGCTGTCATCCTTCTTAGGGCGGCTATAAATGCTGATGAAGTAAGGTCAGATACCAGTTCCAGGTGTACTGCTTTGGTGGCTAAGCACACGAAAACTGCTATGTATCCCTTGCTGCATTTTATGCCTCGACCTTTGTTGCATTTCACTTCGACAAAGCCGGTAAAATCAACCCCTGTGTGGTAAAAAGGTCGTGTTTGGTTCGTCCGTGCACCTGGTAAGTCTCCCATTAATTGATCTTTGTTTTCAAATTTAGCTCGGCGGCAGGTAATGCATTGACGTAGACGTTTTTTCACGGCGTTATTACTCCCAATAATCCAGAATTTTCTTCTCAGCCACGCTAACGTGAGCCGAGGTCCTCCATGGTAAGTCATTTTATGCGTGTGGTCAATGATGATATCAGTTAGATGGTTATTGTTTGGTAATATAATTGGGTGTTTCATTTCCTCACTAATATTGGCATGGTTAATTCTCCCACCGACTCGCAACACACCTTCAGTATCCAAATATGGATTTAATGGTAATAAACGACTTTTCGGATTCAATTTGGTTTTGTTATTAATGTTGGTAATTTCTTCCAAAAATTCAGTTTGTTGTACATGTTTCACTAATAAATTATTCGCTTTCTGAAGCTCTCCAATGGTTAAATACGATGGTTTGTTTTGATCACGTGAAAATGCGCGTAATACCCACGCGAGAACACGACACACTCGTGAGTAATTGCTGTTATCGGTGATCAAGTTACCGATGACGTCATTTTCATATGGTTTGGTTATAACGTTGACTTGAAGCTGTTTTTTGGTTTCTTCTTGTGTTGTGTATTTTGGTTTCTTTTCTATAGATTTCTCATCAAATGTTGAAAGCCACTCAGGTCCACTCCACCAAATTGGATGTTCAATAAGTTGTGCGGCCTTAATGCCTCGGCTGGCACAATCTGCGGGGTTTTCATTGGATTTGACGTAATTCCATTGTTCTGCTGGTAATATTTCTGTGATTTTAGTTACTCGGTTGGCCACGAACGGTTTCCAACGGCTTGGGTCGCCATTAATCCACCCTAACACCGCCGTAGAATCCGACCATCCAAAGGTTTTAACGTTGAGTTCTGATAGACATGTTTGAACAGTTTTCATCAAGTTTGTCATTAATTGAGCAGCACATAACTCTAATCTTGGTAACGTCACATCTTTCTTTATAGGCACGAGGCGAGCCTTGGCGGCTACAAGGGTCACGGAGGAGGGAGTCTTGCAGAAAATCACAGCGGCGTACGCCTTGGTTGAAGCGTCACAAAAACCGTGTAACTCTATATTATCACTTTTGTGGCATTTTAACCATCTTGGTATTTGTGTTTGGTTGATAATGTGCGGTAGGTGTTGATGGTTTTTGAGTTTCACTGGTTTTCGGACCCGAAGGGGATTGGGACCGATTGGTTACTTCATCATAACTTTTGAGTAAATGGACTCTAACATCGTCATAAAATTTCTTGGTTTTGAAATAGGAATCATCCTCAAAATACATATCGTCTTCAGTTTCATCACAAATATTGACTAATTTTTCATGGTTTTGCGAAAATTCTCTCCAGAAAGCTTCTAACGACTGCAAACGACGTTTAATGCTATCAGAGGTTTTCCTTTCTTTCCCTTCTTTTTTGAAATTCATGTAAAGCTTGTTCATATTCTCCATAATCTCCTTTTGTGCGGCAATAAGATCGGCGATAGAAGACATTTTGGTAGTTGGTTGGTGCAGTGGTTGATTAGTATAAAAATGGAAAGATCTTACTTGGTGGTTCTGCTTACTGGTCGTTGATAGTAGTGGTGTTGGTGGCCGGGAATCCAAATATTGGTCACAGGTCACACAAAATGGTTACAATTGGTTTGCACTGATTGGTTCGTAGTCAAATGGTTCGATAAATGGTAAAGTACCCCAAAGGGCTGGTTACACAGAAAGATAGTCACTGACACGTCACGTACAAAGTTCACAACGCGGCAGGTCCCACCTTTCCGAAGGCTCGAAGGACCAAATTTGTCGGGTGTAAGTCCAACAAATTAATAAGTATGAAATAATATAACACGTCAAAATTGGTTAAACTTGGTATATTCGTAAAATGGTTAAAAATGGTTAAATGGTATGCTGAGTACACGCGGCGATGGTAACCGAACGTGAACTAACTTAAAGATATTAAAATAATGAAAAGGTTAAAATTGGGTCAGATTGGTAAATGCTGACCGCGCGCTTACGGGCGAGTTGAATGCACTGTACTTCGTACAAATGTGATTAATTTATTACTTTTACCGCGACTGTCGGTAATCTATATCTATATATATAAAAGAAAGTCGTGTTAGTTACTTCGCTTATAACTCAAGAACGGCTGAACCGATTTAGCTGAAAATTGTCAGGGAGGTAATTTAGAGCCAGGAGAAGGACATAGGATACTTTTTATCCCGTTCGAAATTAAAAAAAAGTCTGCTTATTTATTGCCATTAAGGCGGAACAAAGTTCGCCGGGACAGCTAGTTATTCATAATAACCGGTTTTTATTAATAATTTTCACAATAATAAATTTATCACATTAACCGTAACATCTACAGTCAGAATGATTCTGAAGTAAAATTCTTAAGGTTTCCTTTTTTCTTTTGGTACGCCATTTGTGAGGAATCGGATTCATCGAGGATCGAAGTCATTTATCTGGCATCACATCTGAAGTCTTTAGGATTTATATTAATAGGTTATGTCTATTTTTCAGATACGTTGTGCCAGTCACTGGTGTGTAAGCGTCGGGATATTTGTCTTCTGAAAGATACTTACACGGCATTCTGTGCCAATAAGAAGGAGATACTACGCAAAGGGTGAGTGTTGATATCTTACTAGGTGCAGGTGTGCCTATGTAAACTACAAAACCTGCTACTAAAACTTTCAGATAAATATGAATCTGAGTGCTTCACATTTTGGTTTGAGATGATAATCACGAGTTTAGATATCCGATTACTCTGTTTAGTTTTGACAATTCACAAAGTTTTAATTATCATAAGTTATTCATTCGCTGTTCGCAGAACTACTACTTAGTAGAGAGTAGAGATTAGATAGATAATTACTAAGAGTATGACGTGACCTTTCCAGCGACGTGATAGTGGCGCAGACGGTGAGCGCGTCGGAGGAGACGAGCGGCGGCTGGGCGCGCGTGGACGACGAGGACGTGTTCTACGACGCCGGCGCCGACGCGCCCGAGCCCGACGCCGACGCGCCCGACCGGTACGATGCGAGCGAGCCCGCGAGCGCACCGCCCGGGCCCGCTCCCTGCGAGACTGACGCGCACGTTTCTGTCGCCTCAGGTGCGTGGGCTGCCCGGTGCGCGCGCGCGCCGAGTTCCTGTGCGGCTCCGACAACCGCACGTACTCGTCGCTGTGCCGCCTCGACCTGCACAACTGCGTGAGCCGCGCCGCGCGCCCCGTGCGCCTCGCCTGCCGCGGCTTCTGCCCCTGCCGCGAGCCGGAGCGCGAGCGCGACTGGCGCAAGGGTGAGCGCGACCGCTCGCTCGGAGGGACGGAGCGCAGGCTGCCGGACGTCGCTGACGCCCGCTCGTTGTCCGCAGGGCCCGGCCGCGAGCCCCACCGCGGCACGCACGCGCCGCCGCGCGGCCTGCGACGCCAGCGCGGCCGCCAGCGCGCCTCCAGGCGCAACTTCGACGAGTATGAAGATGTCAGTATCTAGATTTTATGGAAGAAACTATTTACATAATTATAATATTTTTTGCACAAAACTGTTTTCAAAGTTACAAAAAGATTTACGCAAATGAACAATATTTTGTGTGTAGTGAACGTTAACTTATTAAATGACATTTATAAGGTTTTCATGTCCAGATAATCAACGACATAACTGATATTCACACTGCGGGGGGAAAGGAGAGAAAATGACACTGATTGATTTTGAGTTAAGATGATGTGTATTATAGTTGTACGATTTGTCAGCAGGAGTGGCGCCGCCGCAAACAGGATCCGGAGCACAACGAGGTGCTGCCCGAGCGGCCGGCGCAGCGCCGCCAGGGTGAGTTTGGGGCTGCGGTTCGGGCTCGGCGGGGCGCCTGTCGCGCTGACGAGGAACTAATGTGGCGCGTGTTACACAGGCTCGGAAGGCTGCGCGTTGGATAAGATGGCCAACAGACTGCTGGATTGGTTTTCGGTGCTGATGGAGGAGGCCGGTGCCACGGCGGGTCCGGAAGACGGTAACGTTGTTTATATTTCGTCGCTTAAAATGTAGAAATAGGTATAACTATACAATTAGAAAACCATAAAAAACGTATGAGCTTGTGAGCGATTAATGTTTTTTGTGAGTAGGGTTCCCGAACGACTGCAAACCCGAAGTGCGTTGGATGTTCGCGCACCTAGACACGGACGGCGACGGAGTTCTTTCGGCGACAAATCTCTATTCTCTGAGTGAGTATTTTTGGCAGCGCGTCACGCGCAAAATACGGAATCGCGACACTCGACAACGCTCGTCGAGTAAAAAATCACTCATCGGTCGGCGTTCATGTTCAGGGCACGACGAGCGCGAGCGCTGCCTGCGGCCGTTCCTGTCGTCGTGCGGCGGCGCGGACGGCGCGGACGCGGGCGGGGTGTCGCGCGCGGCGTGGTGCGGCTGCCTGCGGCGCGCGGCGCGGCCCTGCGCGGCCCTGGCTGCGGGCCCCGCGCGCGCCCGCCGCGCCCGCCCGCGCCCGCCGCGCCGCCCGAGGGCGCGCCCGCCGACGACGAGGACGCGCCAGGCAGCGGCGACGCCGAGCTGCGCTTCTAGGCCCCGAGCCGCCGCGAGCCGACCGCATTCGGCGGTGCCCGAACCCGAGCTCGCGAATGCGACGATCGTCGTCCTTTGAACCCGCGAGGGCGCGCAGTTCGTCCGAGAGCCGGCCGGCGTTGAATGCGGGGAGTAGATATACCTAATCGTTAGAGAATTTGATGGAAAACGATCATACGACACCTCGCGATCGTCGCCTATTAGGTGAACCCCGAGTGATTCACTCTTGTGTGGCCTAATTCTTAACCGTCAGCGAGACGTGCCCGTCCTTTTTGGCTTTTAAAATTATTTTGCAAGATTCTAGTTTGTCAATATCACAACGCTGTCGGTTTTTCTGAATAAATTTAATACTACTCGTGAGACTCGTCCCTGAATGAAGGATCTTGTATTCGTTTCCTTTGATTTGATAGGTAGTTTACACGTAACTTACCACTTTAATTTTACTTTACATTATTTATCGAGGTCGGTATAAACTAAGTACCTACTTACTCTTTGATTTCAATGTCTATCCGAGTATCGCGTTAAAACTTGTTTAAAGTAATTCAATTATGCAACGCGAAAGTTTAAAATTCGGCGTTTGGCTGTTTGCATTTGAATGTTATACAACATTCAAGAAAAAAAAATTTAGTAGTATTACTGATATTACTATTACCTGTGCCATTACTAAGAAGTAATACCTACGCAAACGACAAGACACCAACCACTGAATGGAAATTATACAATGTATCTAATGTACCTACTTAATAACTAAAAATTAATATAAGACGATTAAAAAGAAGTTAATCGCAGAGAAATAATGAACTTCACAACATACCTGGTTATTCACAGACGTATTTTAATTAATTGTTAGAGCCTCTAACTTACGTAACGTATTTATTTTATGTAATATTTAACCCTTTTCATTGCAACCACATTAAGTTTCTTTACTCATGTGTTACAAGTACTTACAATCTAGTTGCTGTGTATCTTTTCGATATTGTCGTTGCGGGGTCCACTATACGAGTAGCAATAAATGTAAGTAGGTATAACTAAGTTCCGTTCTCAAGCTGGCAGTCCTGTCTATCTTACTTGTTTCCCATTTATACTAGGGCATATTATTATCTACGTTAAAACTCACACGGGCGCCCGCACTTGCGTGAGTATTGAACAACATTTTTGAACATCTTGTACTACCATTTATTGTTGGAACTTCTGTAACATTGCGAAGTGAACAAATGAATAATATAATGTAGTATGAGAAGTAGGTCTTACATGCGTGTGACGACGGGTTTCCACAAGGCGGGAGGCGGGCTCCCGCGCAAGTTCTAGCGTAGGCCCTTGTGGAGGACGCGGCCATAGATGTCAAAAACTACATTACATAACTTTACAAAGCGGATATTGTTGTTGCTGTATGTACAGTGTAACCTAATTCAGTATAAGTAGTTATGTACTTAATACTTACTAGGTATTACGACAAAACTTAAGCTTATGAATGTTTGATATTACTAGTTTAGTAGAATGATAAGAAACCTACAAAATGCCTACTTGTATGTAGCATAGTACAGAGTAGTTTGGAATGCTCGGATGTGTCGCCTATTTGAATTGGTGTGTGTGAGAAAGACAGTTTTAATATTTTTGGAGTGCAAGCCACTCATTAGAATTTAAGTAGTTTGTTTTTAAAATTGTTTTTTTGTAGGTACTTACTACAAGTTCAACTAAAATATTTATTTTAAAATCAAATTATTTATCTTATTTCATAAAAATACATTTTGAATTTGAATGAGCCTATGGATTTTTAATAAAATTTGTAAACAGCAGTTTGTAATGAAGAGACGCTATGCTAACCATAGCATAGCCTCTTGAATAGAAGAAGCAAAACAAATCTGCTCTTTTTAATTATTAGCATAAAATGGCAAAATGAATTATTTTTAAAATGCTTGACTTGTTACTCTATTGATTGTATTAGTTAATATGATGAAATAGGAAATATTTTTTATCAGCAAATCTTACATTAATAGTAAATTAGGAAGTACCTACTTGTTTAGATAAACAAATTAATTATTTGCACTTTTTTAATCTCAGTCACAGTAGTTATGTACTGTAATAAAATATTATGATATATTTAAAACTTGTTTCCATTCCTTCTCCCTTTTATTATAAATCCTATTATAGTATCATCTTAATTAATTATACACATTTTGAAATTAAGTATGTAAACACAGAAGTTGTGTTGTGGCGACATCTATCGACGCCACCTTTACAAACTAGTGGCAATTAGAAAGTTGGACCTGGGGGAGTTTCTACGTGACTGGGCCACTTCAGGTAGGCAGTTTTGGGAGGGACTTACTTGGCTAACACTGCCCGTCGACGCTTACACTTGCAAGTCCTGGTTATTGAAGATTGTCCGGCCGGGCTTACATCCAATGTTGTGCACACGCCTCACAATTCACAACATCTTTCGTGAAAACAACAGGTTTTCACACGATTGTTGCAGTTGCCCGCTCGTGGCTTGTTTTTTTATTTTTTCATCTGGTAACCCTAACCTAACCTAGCATCCTTTTAACGTGGTCGATCATCAAAATCTGTGCATCAAATTCTTGACCGTTCATTGAAAATATTTCAAAATCTTGAAAAAGAAGTCACTGTCTACTTTTAGTATTTTACAAAGCACCTTTTCTTTAGTCCCAAATTCACAAAGCATCTACTTCGGGTACCAGACAACACCCATTGGTAGGTGTTTACTATTAGGTCCTTACCTATGAAATTAGCTAAGGATTTAACCAAGATCCATGTCCATGGATTTAACCAACCAACAAATCCAAATCTAGCACTTAAGACACCTGTCTAGCTAGATCTAATTCGTATAGTAAAAAGGAAAACTTACAATGAAAGTGAGGAAAGAAAATAAGTTGTCTAAAATGTGTTCAAATATTTATTACGTTGAAACTGATCACTATCATATTACTTACAGCTAATGTAGGTAAATTATAATTTACAGAGCTCATAAATTAAAAAGGCTAGGTAGTTTAGTTCACTTTTCTTCTTCGAGTCCTTTGAACTTGCCATTGTAGAAGGGGATGTTGGCCACGAACACTTTCCAGTCTGTAAAGTACAGGAGTGTGACGAACGCCGCTCCTCCAAACCCTCCAGCAGATGTCATGAATGAAGCAGCCATCTCCATATGCTTTTTACCAATGCCTCTCAACATTTTGAAGTGTAAAACTTACAGGAATTGCGATGTATGGGCAATATTTGCCTGTTACGTAAATCTGCAGCACCAAGTTCACTCACTTGCTAACAGAATCTGTCATTAATGTCAAAAAAGTGAAGTGAGGTTATACATTTTTTAAGCTGTATTTTAGGCTTTAGAATGACCTCACACAGCCAAATCTTCCGCGCGAGCCATTAAAAAAAGTGCGTAGAGGCCATAAGTAGAGGGGGCGTCTTTATCTTAACAAACGTTATCAAACCACAAACAAAATGACCTGCAGGTCCACTGGAAAAAATCGGAACTAATAACTCAATATTGAATCCAATGTGGCAAAAATCTATCAATTATTGAGTTATTAGTTCCAATTTATTTTCGCCACCACTGATGGGTCCTTATCAAATTATTATTGATTGCATAATTTGGATTGATCAGGATAGATCATACATTGATTGCTTGTTATTGGCAGCACTATTTGATCACATATTTGATGGCCAATGTACGTAAATCCAAGTCAGAATCCGGTGTATGTATTTAATTAAAAAAAAAATTGACGTTTAAGTTTATTAAAAAATCGTATTGTTTGCAACACAGATATGGATAGATGCAGCATGTGTCAAAAATTGTATGAAGCCGAGCGTGCCACTTTTTAAACGTCATTAGTGTCATTTTAGCGAATTTTAGTGATTGCCGCAACGTAAAAGTNGTGACTGTGTTAAAGAGTGCGTCTCAAACCTAGAAAAATTTGAAGTGTCAAAGACTTAGAAAAATCAGTGATCGAAATAACTTAGAAAAATTTGAAGTGTCAAAGACTTAGAAAAATTAGTGACCGAAATAACTTAGAAAAGATTTGGTGCGGTTTTATATGGAACTTCGACTTAGAATATTTCGGTCCGATTATGTATGGAACTTGAACTTGTAAAATTTCTCCGATATTTGTGAACTTAGAAAAATCGTGTCTCAGTGGATTATTGGACTTAGAATATTTACGCGCATCTGTGACTTGTGAATTGACACTTCATAACCTATCATCAACTTCATAACCATGGAAGCATTTCTACTGCAGCAAGGAGAAATCCGAGAACAAATTGGAAAGACTTTGGCGAATTTTAAGAAAACACCTAAAGATNTGGGTTAAAGGTAATCCAATATAATAAGAAACAAGAATGGTTAAATGACAGCCCTATAAGACACTGATAACTTTGTACGACAGACTTACTATTTTGTGAAAATTAGGTCTGTAACAATAAAGTAATTTTGAATATAATATCAGTAATCTGTTGAATTAATTATTGATTCTTATCAGTTTAATTTTGTTCTTACTATTAGTAATTTAAATGTAATTTAAATAATAATAGTAAGTGATAAAAATGTATAGAGATGACTCCGGATTTAAAGATTGAGGTACGTTTTAGTCTCTAGGATGCCACACAGATAGTGACGTCATAATACATTAAAACATTAGTATATTTTGTCAACAAGCGAGTTACAGTGTCTTAAATACAAAAGAACTAATAGATATGTTTAATGCAGTCGATTGAATTCTTTATATTAATGTTCGCGCAATGCGTGTTGCGTGCTTGCAAATACTTACTTTATAACTCAACGGATTTATACGTTGTTTTTGACATATCCACTTAATAATATGATAAACACAACAGTATTGTCAATTAATTAGATAGTCAACAAACGCCACGAGATTGCTATATGCCACATAATCATAAATGGACTAGTTCAAGGCGCCTATATTTTTGTGCGTCCATATACTAGCGGGTACAGGCGCATCCATCTTAGCGCCCTCTACAAATGGGTACGATTAACTAGTATTAGAAGACATCGTAATAAGTGTTAGCAAAGCTGGTACGAATATTCTCTTTTTGAAATCATTTCACATGACATTCGTGCCAGCTGTAATGAAACGACCTAAATATAAATATCTCCACCCGCTAGCGTCAGAACTTAGCACGTAAATGTCCGTTTTATTAAGGAGCTCTCACCAGCAGCAGCGCATGGAACAACACCTGGAACTTGGTAGAAAACTTAAACGGTACCGTTTCACGTTCAATTGTCACACTAAAAGTCAGTAGAGCATTCGAAATTGAATCTTGAAACGGTAGCGATTGGGTTGGTTTTCGTCAAGGCGCAGCCATGGCCTAGCTCAAGTTCACTCCCGGTTCTGGAAGGATTCGAAGAGGTTGTCGTATTCGTGTTGGTTGGCGGCGCCCGGGCCCGCGCTGCGAGGCGGCGAGGGCCCCGGGGAGGGGCTGAAAGGAAAAAAGAAGGTAAAATGAAGACTATGCTTCCAAGTGTTTACTGGATTTAGGATCATAGAGAACACGCAATAGGAGATCCTGTATGTTATAGTCTAGCCCGTGAGCACGTAGAATTTTGTCCAATAACCCCAAGCTACCCATCCATATCGCTCGCGCGTAATTATGTTGCTGTCGCGCTCGCACACTCACTGCGGGCGCGCGTCGCACAGTCGCGACAGCAATATAATTACGCGCGAGCGATAAGGATGGGAGCTTGAGGTCATTGACCAAAATTCAACGTGCTCACAGACCGGGCTTTAGTATGTATGAATATTTTGGTTAAGGGTGGATTCGACCAAACAAGAGTAAATATTAATCTTAGAATAAATTATCAGTTTTACATTTCCCATACTGAAGAGTTATACCAGAAGTTATTTTCGGATAAAAGTTTGATCGAATCGGGCCTAAAGGTAGGTAAAATTGGCATGCAAATGCTGAACTGGATTCTGTACCTGGATAAGTGTAACTTGCTGACCGCCGTTAGACAGCGAGTACTCTAAGAGCAGCCGTGTTCAGTACCATTTTTGTACACCTGGAGGGTGAATGTTGGCTTCCTGGCCAGTGACTATGGATGTTAAGTAGCGGTCGTAGACCAGTTTAACTGCTAGGTGAGTGCTGGCTCGCTCACGAGTCACTGACGTAGGTCGCTGCTGCTAAAGCCCGGTCTCTGAGCACGTAGAATTTTGTCCAATGACCCCAAGCTACCCATCCTTATCGCTTGCGCGTAATTATGTTTCTTTCGCGCTCGCACAGTCACTACGGCCGCCCGTCGCACACTTCGCGACTGTGCGACGGGCGGCCGCAGTGAGCAATAATATAATTACGCGCGAGCGATAAGGATGGGTAGCTTGGGGTCATTGGACAAAATTCTACGTGCTCGGCGACCAGACTATAGTACCGCTGTCAGCAACTGTCACCTAGATGTGTAGGCACCAGTACATACCTGCTGGGTGAGTGCTCGCTCGCTCACGAGGCGCGGCGGCCGGTGAGCGAGCCCACGAGCGACTTGAGCGCCTGCCCGAGCGAGGCGCGGCCGGGGTCGCTGCTGCTGCCGCTGCCGCCGCTGGCCAGCGATGCTGCGCCGCCGTGGGCGTCCAAGCACTTCTGGTAGCGGAGCTGGATGGTATAAAAGAGATTTTATCATTCTCAGTAGTCATTCATTTAGGCGGGTTTTAGAATCGCGCTGACCGCTCGCTGATCGTCGGCGCTGACAGATCATTATGTATGTAATTGAAGGGAACGTTCCTGAGTGACGCTGATCGTTAGGCGCCGATGCTTCATACATTTCGGCTGTCAGCGCTGACGGTCAGCGTGCGTCAGCGTGACTACTGATTTGATATGTTGTACCCAAGATCTACCTTGTCCCTGTAAATAGCACATGTTTGTGTAAGATGAATTCAGTACTTAATGTCCCGGTACTCAAGAGGAACATCTAGCGATACCAGCGTAAATGCGAATAGAAAATCGTGATGGAACGTGACATTCAAGATATTTCATTTTTTTTCTGTCTGTAAGATTTTGTAAGTAATTTTTCACCAATAGCCTTCAGTATTTATTCTGAACAGCTGAAGGAGTGTCGATATACCTAAAATGATTGAATATAAGTGTGCTGATAAATAGACTTAGGTGACGTTTCATCCAAGGATGAATAAAATTGTCTCCTTTTCATATTGTTAGGTGTCCAAGCCAAAGGGGAAAGGGGCAGGTAATGGAATTAGTAAGTCCTCCTATGTTCTTCTGATTAATTTCGTTGCGGGTCCAATGACAGTTTAACTTTCCCCCGGGACAAACTTGACCTTCATTGGTTGGGTTTTTGTGGCGGTCAAGCTGTAGATCCTGGCTACACAGGAGTTGCAGTGGTGGGAATGAGAGGTGGGAATAGTCCCGTAATGGAATTAGTAAGAAATGTACGTGATTTCCTAAAGTCAAAAAGGCAAGTAAGATTGCTAGATACCTTGCAAGCAGCCTCAATAGTCTTGCACAGCGCGCCGGAAGACGGCTCGGCGTGGAAGGCGTGCGCGACAAAGAGGTCCTGCGCGGTGTGCACGATGAACGCACAGCGCCGCACGTCGCGCCCGATGCCCAGGAACGACAAGTAGCGCACGCGGCACTCCACTAGTGGGCTGCTCTCCTGGGGACGTGATGGTGGGAAATGAGAAACAAAAATGATGTATAAAGAAAACTACTTTACGTTCACAGATGGACAAAGGCCTCAAGGCCATAAGATATCCAGAACGACCGGTCCTGCTCTGCCCATACTGTTTACATACTTTTACGTCCATACTGTCTTTAAAAGTATTTTGGGGCTAATAACAGTTGGAAAAGGTACAGGAAAATGTGGAGAGAACCTAATCACTAGGTCCATGCGTTGGACTGGTGAAATCTGTGAATCGAATCTGCAGCAGAATTAACAGCATATCTGACTGCGTCAGGTCTTCGAATAAAAGAGAATGCGGTGGAGCTGTGACCGCCTCTACCACTTACGTGGATACCTCGACGTGACCAATATTGTAAAGAACTACGAAGATTGGCAAGCGCAAAACGACACGAGGAAGAAGACAGCCGTAGTTAAGTACCTAATACCTAGGTCCTGCTGACTCTAGGCGTTGTAGATCTACGCAGAGGGCGAGTTCTGATGCCTACAGCATCCGCTTCTTCTAAATTTCTCCAGGTCCAGCAGTCAGTACCATGAGATCTCTAACCCTATTAAAGTGTCCAATTGTCGCTCACCCCCTCCTCAGTGATGGTAATCATAGACGGCGCCACGGCCACAGCCACAGGGCGCCAGGTGGACGGCGCACGCGCGGCGGCCAGGCGCTCGAGCGCGTCGTTTAGCACGTCCATGCCGGTCGCACGCGGCACCTCCGCGCTTCCCAGGTGCTATACACGTGTGAGAGTATCCTCGTGTCACTCACCCCCTCAGTAACGGTGATCACAGAAGACGCCCCAGCAACAGTGACGGGTTGTCAGGCGGACGGCGAGCGTGCAGCATCTAGGCACTTGAGCGCGTCCATGCTAAATAGAAGGAGCATCTGAAGCCTACAGGGTCTACTGAAATTCTCCAGGTCTAGGAGTCAGCACTGAACTATGAGAGTTCACTCAACCCCTCCTCAGTAATGGTGATCATAGACGGCGCCACGGCCATGGCTACAGGGCGCCAAGCTGACGGCGCTGCCAGGCGCTTGAACGCGTCGTTTAACACGTCCATGCCAAATGTAAAGAGCATCTGATGCCTATTGGGTCTACTCCTGAATTTCTCCAGGTCTAGGAGTCAGCACCGAACTATGAGAGTTCACTCACCACCTCCTCAGTGATGGTGATCATAGACGGCGTAACAGCTACAGGGCGCCAAGCTGACGGCGCACGCGCAGCTGCCAAGTACTTAGGCGCGTTGTTCAGCGACAGCGCACATCGCGATATTGGCGTCTAATATGAAATGACGCGCGCATGCGTTTTGTTGCCGCGTTTTATCGCCCAATGTGCGCTGTCGCTTAGCTCTGATGACTACGCGTCCGCTCCTTCTGAATTTCTCCAGTCAGCATCAACATACACATGTGTGGGAGTATTCTCGTGGAGTGCGAGTATTCTCTCTCACTCTCTCTCTCGTGGCGTGTCACTCACCCCCTCCTCAGTGATGGTGATCATAGAAGGCGCCACGGCCACAGCCACAGGGCGCCAAGCTGACGGCGCGCGCGCTGCGGCCAGACGCTCGAGCGCGTCATTTAGCACGTCCATGCCGGTCGCACGAGGCACCTCCGCGCTGCCTAAGTAACGCGCGCGCACTGTCTTGCGCGGTTCTTCCATCGGCGTGGGGAAGGACGCGCCTGGAAAAACAGGTAGGATTACAACTTCATCTATGGAAAACGAAAACAGTAATTAGTAGTGTAGTTCCGGCAGAGTAGAATAAGACTACCCCCACTCTTTCCGTGGATAAGGAGGTGGAAAGAATATGCGGACATCCGGCCTCCCCAACATCTGGCCAGCGTGCACAAATAGGTAATGTGAAGCCTGGGGCGTCTTACAATGTGTAAGACGGTGGGCCTTCATTTTCCAAGCTGGGCACTGGCAGGAGTTGGATACGATAAGACGAAGTCAGGGTAAGAGGCCTATGTTCTATGTCCAGCTGTCTTGTGATTTATTATTACCTGCCAAGCGCCTGGGGCGCCTCGCAGCAGGCAAATCCGTGGGCCTGGGTGGCGGCTGCAGCGATCCGCTTGCAGATAAGATAATTAGGATAAACTCTCCTTACCTGCTAAAGGCCTGGGGCGCCTCGCAGTAGGCAAATCCGTGGGCCTAGCCGGCGGCTGCAGTGATCGCTCGATCATGATCCGCTTGCATATGTCCCGGAGCGCGTTGGTGATGCTACGCGCGGGCTCAAATGGTTCCTATCTAGTGACAGTTAAGATCAACTCCCTCTTTACCTGCTAAGGGCCTGGGGCCGCCTCGCAACAGGCAAGTCAGTGGGCCTTCATCTTCCAAGCCGGTTCCTGGCAGGAGTTGGATGCAAGAGCCGTGACAGAGTAAAAAAACCTAATAAGACAAGCCTATGTTCTATGTCTGACGGACTGCTGCAAAATTTATGGAGGATGTGGATTTTAGACGATTTTACCTGCTAAAGGCCTGGGGCGCCTCGCAGCCGGCAAATCCGTGGGCCTAGGTGGAGGCTGCAGCGAACGCTCGATCATGATCCGCTTGCATATGTCCCGTAGCGCGTTGGCGATGCTACGCGCAGGCGCCTCGCAACGAAACACGTGACACATGTGCTTACGCGTCGCGCGGTCGCGGGCCACGTACGCGAAGTCCCTGCGGATAAGGGATCGAGTCAAGTCCTGGCTAAGGCTGGAAGCCAAGATCAGAAAGGACTGAATGGAGGAAGGCTGTGGATAGTGGATACCTTCCTTTTGAAACCAACCAGATTTCTGTCTAATTAATTCTTTTATAAGAATCAAAATGCGCCAAAAAGTTTCGTGTCATGATTAACGTTAAAAACAGTCCCTATGGAATGTGGACGAGAGGTTGGATCAAATCTTGGGCGAAAAAAACAGTCCCTATGGAATGCGTACGACAGAATGGATCAACTCTTGGGCGAAGGCTGGTCATTCAAACAATTCATTACGGATTTTTTTTCCAGAATGGAACACCTCTTGGCTTCAGTCCGAAAGTGGAAGGAACTGAACATGGAAAATGGGAAGAACTGAAACTTAAAGTTGGTTAACAAGAATTAACAATATGGGTTAAGAAGAAAGATAATTTAAGAAGGTTGGAAAATCAGGTAAATGATAATTTAACGATTTGACTAAATGATAAATCATTTTCTAATGATGAAACAAATTCAATGAGTTAAATGACTCGTGCTGGAATGCCGAAGAAAGGTAGTGTTAAGATGAATTTGACCTTTCATCATGTGATTCTATCAAAACTAATGGAATGTTCACTCACACAACAGAAAATTTGTAAAATGCCAAAGCGTGATTTACAGCAAAGCGGTATTTAAAATTTAAATTTAAAGCTTTTTTTGTAACGCAAAAAAATTTAGAGGTTTATGACGTTAATAAAAAATAAATTCGCAATGGCATTTTAATAATCTAAAATGATCAAATTATAGACAAATGCGTCGGTGTAAATGATCAAGCTGTTTTTATTTCACTCTAAAACTAAATTACTGTGAATGAGAAGCATTTTTAATTAGTTTTCTATTTTTTTCGCTGTGTCTATAATTTCTCCATACCTTTCACTGTTCCGAGATCGCACATAGAAGGGAAAGAAAAGCAATTCTTTAGTTGGTAGTATCTTTGTAACAACTTTGATGGATTAGTACATAAATTAAGTACCTATGGTTTGTGTCTTACTACTACGCAAAGAGAAAAACAAAGTTATAGGGAAAATTAATAATAAACCATTACCAACAATACATATAGGCCTTAGACTAACAACTAACCTTTTTGTAATTTAATCAAATAGAAGTTCAGTCTTATACATTTTTCTTGTAAAAGAAGTTGTTGATGAAGATGGAATAGGTGCTATTCTATCTTCATAAGATACGTGCCAAGTGTTGATGACGGCACACAATCATGCGTACATTGTTATTGTCTCCAGCATCGAAACCTCGTGAACGTCAGAATGGCGGGTGTATGGTCACAGAAATGAATAATATAAATATGAATTTTTAATACCTGAGGTGTACCTTTATGTACCTTTAGTTATTAATTTTGTACTTCCCTAATACGGGAACAATTTAAATTACAAAATGAGCCGCCAACCTGATATCAGNAACAGTGGTGGTTTTATTTGGAAGACAAGATACGCAGCGACATCTGGTGCCGAAACCTGGGAAGTGAGAACTTTGGACTTGGTAAAATCGTGAGTACAGTGAGTGAAGTGATCAACAGGTGACTGTGTTAAAGAGTGCTGAGACTTAGAAAAATTTGAAGTGTCAAAGACTTAAAAAAAATTAGTGATCGAAATAACTTAGAAAAATTTGAAGTGTCAAAGACTTAAAAAAAATTAGTGACCGATATTTTTTTATTATTTTTTTCCTTTATTCCATCATGCGATCAGTCAGAAGACTATGAACAGTTTTTTTTTATAACAGAAAAAGATTAATTTTATTATTGCTTTTTCTCGTTACTTTGTAAACGTTGAACTGACCTTNGAAAAATTTGAAGTGTCAAAGACTTAGAAAAATTAGTGACCGAAATAACTTAGAAAAAATTTGGTGCGGTTTTATATGGAACTTCGACTTAGAATATTTTCGGTCCGATTATGTATGGAACTTGAACTTGTAAAATTTCTCCGATATTTGTGAACTTAGAAAAATCGTGTCTCAGTGGATTATTGGACTTAGAATATTTACGCGCATCTGTGCCCGTACCTCACTTGTGAATTGACACTTCATAACCTATCGTCAACTTCATAACCATGGAAGCATTTCTACTGCAGCAAGGAGAAATCCGAGAACAAATTGGAAAGACTTTGGCGAATTTTAAGAAAACACCTAAAGATAGATTAACTTTACTATACATCGAGACAAAATTAGAGAATTTGGAAACATTATGGAAGAAGTTCAGCGATATTCATTACAAGATTATAGTGTCCGCGACGAAAGATCAACGAGATAAACTACCCTATTTTACTGAAGATGTGTATGTAAATGTTGAAGACATTTATACTGACTGCAAAATCAAAATGAAAATGGGATTAAAGAAGGGAAGTTGCTTCGATCCTTCAAGTTCAGCTCAAGACAGTCAAAAGGTACAGATGAATGTTGAAGTGAAACTGCCACAGATACAACTACCCTCCTTTTCGGGTCTTTATGAAGAATGGCAAAGCTTTCAAGATATGTTCACTTCACTTATCCATAACAACGCAAACTTGAGTGCAGTTCAGAAGCTACATTACCTGAAAACCAGTTTAAAGGGTGAACCTGAAAACATGTTGAGAAGTTTATCCACTACAGAGACAAATTACCAAGAAGCATGGGATAAGTTGACGCGTCGCTACAATAACAAACGATACAACTCAAATGAAATCCTGAAACGATTGTTTTCACAGAAGGTCATACCTAATGAGTCCGCTTCGTCAATAAAGCTACTTCTTGACACCACATCAGCTTGTTTGAAATCTTTGAAGAATTTGGGAGTTGATATTGAGTCATGGGATGTCATAATAAACTACTTGATAGTGTCAAAGTTGGATTATGAGACACGAAAATTGTGGGAGACTGAGATTAGTCATTCGACCTCTGATGACTTCCCAAAGTGGAACCAACTTGTGCAATTTCTAGAAACAAGATTCAGAACCTTGGAGATGATAAGCGGAACCAAACAAAATGTGAAACCTGTAAACAACAATGCCAATTCCAATATCAAACAAGTCGCTAATCAGAAGATGTTTCACTCAACTGTACAAGATAATAAGAGAGAGAATAATAGAGTCTGCGTGTTTTGTTCAAATCAACACTTACTGTATCAGTGTAAGCAATTTGGTAGCAAGTCTCCTGAAGAGAGATTTGAGTTTGTACAATCAAAGAGACTTTGCTTCAATTGCTTGTCATCTACCCACAACGTGAAGAGCTGCCACCAGTCTACAAGCTGTCGTCGGTGCGGTAGAAGACATCACACCCTGCTGCATTTCGAGAGGAGCGAGCATCAGCTGCCTACGGCGGCCCCAGCTACGAGTATCGAGCAACCTTCGAGTCCGGTTGACGTTCAGCACAGTACAAATTATGAGAAAAAGGTTGTAGCTCATTTTGCTAAGGAGGAGCACCAAGGTAAGGTGTTACTGGCCACGGCATTAGTCAAGGTCAAATCAACAAATGGCTATTTTCAAACTGTGCGAATATTAGTTGATCAGGGCTCTGAAGCTTCTTTTGTAACTGAGAGTACTGTACAATCCTTAGGTCTTAAACGTATTCCAGTCAACGGCTTAGTGACAGGCGTAGGAGATGGTAAACTTAGAACTAAGAATATTGTACAATTTGAGTTAGAGTCACTACATAATCCTGAATTTTCTATTTCAGTAAACGCATTCGTTTTATCTTCATTGACTTCATTTCTTCCATCGAGTAACACTTCCATTTTTGACTGGCCTGATCTTGAAAATTTACCTTTGGCAGATCCTAACTACGGTTCACCTGGTAAGATACAGATTATTTTAGGAGTAGAGGCATTTAGTCAAATAATACTCAGCGGCCTTTTGAAACATCCGTCGCCAGGGGGTCCAGTCGCCCAAAACACTCAGCTGGGCTGGATTTTATCGGGTAAGGTTGGTCACTCAGAGGAACCAAATCACAACATAATAAACTTACATTTGCAAGTGAAAGGAGACGAGCTTTTGAAGCAGTTTTGGGAAATTGAAAGAGAACCAGATCTAATAAAGAAGAAACTAACCAAAGAAGAGCAAAGATGTGAAGAAATTTTCGAGAGCACAACCACAAGGAACAATGAAGGTAGATACATAGTACGATTGCCGTTTAGAGAGTCAGATCCAAGCTGTGTGTATGGAAAATCAAAGGATATTGCGTTAAAGAGATTTAAACTGTTAGAGAAGAAACTCAAGAAGGATTCAGTATTACAGTTGGAGTACGCTAAGGTGTTGACAGACTACCTTAAACAGAAACACATGGAGCAAATCATGGATCCGATGGAGGTAGAATATCCTTACGCCGTCTATCTTCCTCACCACGCCGTAGTGAGAGAAAATAAAGAGACAACGAAGGTCAGAGTTGTATATGACGCGTCCTGTAAGGGTGTAAACCACGTATCTTTGAACGATTCTCTAATGGTGGGACCAAGGCTTCAGCAAGACTTGCGTCACATTCTGATGCGGTGGAGAACGCATCAAATTTGTATCGTTGCCGACATAGTCCAAATGTATCGACAGGTCTTGGTGAATGAGGATGATACGGACTTTCAAAGAATTCTTTGGCGTCCAGATCCGGAGGAACCCATTGCTCATTATCGATTGTTGACACTTACCTTCGGAACGGCTTGTGCACCATACTTGGCAGTGAAGTCCCTTCAGCAACTGGCAAAGGACGAACAGTTGAAATATCCTGTAGCTGCGAAAATAACAAAAGAAGATTTCTACATGGACGACTTGTTAACTGGTTGCGCAACAGAAGACGAAGCCATAAAGATTTACACAGAGATAAATAAACTCATGAGAGAGGGGGGTTTCGAGCTACAAAAGTGGTGTACTAATAGTCAGACCTTGATACGCTATATTGAGAAAGACAAACAGAGTTCAAACGAGTCATTTACGTTTAAAATCAATGACACGATAAAGGTTTTAGGTATTTCCTGGAATAAAAACGACGACAACTTCGAGTATACATATCACTTGCCAGATATGGATGAGCCAATAACCAAACGCAAGGTGTTATCAAATATTGCAAGACTCTATGATCCTATGGGTTGGATCGCACCTGTTTTGATTACTGCCAAGATCTACATGCAGAAATTATGGAAGTCCGGCTTGGATTGGGATGATCATCTGTCAGCAGAGTTGCTGAATGAGTGGCTGAGATTTAGAGACGACCTAAATAGAGTGGAACATATCACCATACCTCGTTGGCTGAAGTTTGGAGGAGAAGATTCTGTTGAGCTGCATGTATTTGTTGACGCTTCTCAGGCGGCTTATGCTGCGGTCGTTTATGTAAAGATCAGAGATAGTGAGGGCAATACTTACGTGAATGTCGTTACAGCCAAAACAAAGGTTGCTCCCATCGAAAAGGAAATATCTATACCTAGAATGGAATTGTGCGCGGCGCTGCTCGGCACAAAATTATTATTTGAAGTAGCACAAATTTTAAATATCCCCAAGAACAAGTGGTTTGCTTGGTCAGACTCGATGGTAGTTCTTGCCTGGCTTCGAGGAGAGCCGAGCCGCTGGAGCACATTCGTCAGTAATAGAGTTTCTGAGATTTTAACCATGCTTGATCGTGACCAATGGAACCATGTACCCACTGATCAAAACCCTGCCGATTGTGCTTCAAGGGGTATATCCGTTAGTGAATTAACTGAGCATGATCTGTGGTGGCATGGTCCTAAAGGTATACATGAGAATGACATCTACACGAGTGACTTAGAGTTTAGCACCAACCATGAAGAGAGATCAATCAAAGCTCTAACAACTGCAGTCCATTTGACAGAAGATTTTATATGGACGAGATTTTCCAATCTTTCGAAGATGTTGAGAGTTTTATCATACTGCAGGAGAATGTTAAGAGTGAAAGAGCTTAAATCAACTAAAAGTGCAAATGAGAACATCACTGTCAAGGAGATGAATGAGACTTTAAACGGTTGCATAAAGGCAACCCAAGAATTGTACTTCAACGAAGATATAATCCAAATTAAATCTAAAGCGGGCTGTGTCGCCAAGAGAAGCAAACTGCATACTCTTAGTCCATTTTTAGACGAAAATGGATTGTTAAGAGTAGGCGGTCGAATCATTCAGTCTTCTGTGGGATTTGAGAAGAAACACCCAATTATTATGCCTAGTGAGTCTCACCTCACTAAGTTAATAATTTTGGATGCTCATCATAAGACACTCCACGGAGGGCCACAGCTTATGCTAAATTTTTTGAGAAGCAAGTTTTGGATTATTCGTGCCAGAGAAAAGGTTAAGAAGTGTTATAGAGAATGTGTTGTTTGTGTGCGATATTCACGCCAAAACAACAACCAGTTTATGGGCCAATTGCCTAAGGTCCGGCTGACCCCAGATAAACCATTCAAGTCAGCAGGAGTAGATTTCACCGGCCACATAAACGTACGATTTTCTCCTGGCAGAGGATCGAAAGCTTACAAGGGCTACATATGCCTTTTTATTTGTTTGTCCACCAGAGCTATTCACCTGGAAGCGGTATCAGACTTAACGGCGAAAGGTTTTATTGCCGCCTTTAGAAGGTTTGTGTCCCGAAGAGGTCGTTGCCAAGATTTGTACAGCGACAATGGTACGAATTTCGTTGGAGCTGATAAAGAACTCCAAGAGATGTTTAACGAAGCTAAATCTCAGCTACCGAACGAAATTGCCCACTTACTCACCGAGGAAGGCACGACGTGGCACTTCATACCACCTCACGCGCCCAATTTTGGAGGTGTATGGGAAGCCGGTGTTCGATCCACAAAGAAACACCTGAAAAGAGTCATTGGAGATGCAACGCTAACCTTCGAAGAGCTATCAACGGTCTTGACTCAAGTGGAAGCGTGCCTCAACTCTCGTCCGATATCTGCTTTGAGTGACAATCCAGATGACCCAATGCCCTTGACACCAGGACATTTTTTAGTAGGGGAGCCACTGGTAACTATTCCAGATGTAGACTATTCCAAATCAACATTGTCTGGCCTCCAGAGATGGAAGTTAACTCAAAAAATGGTTAATGACTTCTGGCGAAAA